CCACCTATGAAATTAGAACATTTTCCGTCATTTACGTTAGTGACGACGGTGAAAATATTTTTGGGGTAATAATTGAGATAGATATTCTTTTTTTTAACTTTTTAACCTTTAACCTTCTAAGAATATTAAGCGAATTAATTCTTAAATAGTGAATTGAAAAAGCCAGTTAGCTCAGTCAGTAGAAGTGCCGTATCTCTCAATGTTATTGTGTGAGGACGTGCTTCGAATACTGTCTGAAACTTAAAATCTATCATACGCCATGCACGTGTGATGCGGTGCTTGCGCATGCATACGAAAACGTATTTATACATCTGTACGTACATGTGGTGTGTGTGCGCGCGCGCGCGCGTGTGTGTGCATGTGTTACAACCTTTGTTAGTGATATGAAAGTTTAACTAAAGTCATATTAGTATGGCATACAAGCAGTTCTGTGCTTGCCAAAGCTCTGTAATTAAAAAAAAACTATATTTGATATTCTTCCTCGAAGAATTCTCAAGAATATTCTATCACGCACATGTGGTACAAGAGCTGGCCCAACCTGAACGTGCCAGCCAACATTGGAAGCTTTATTAACTTTCAACACGTCTTCCAGTCAGTCGTGAAGAGTATCAGCAGCAGAGATGGCCGTGGAAATGTTTCTGTAAAAGTTCTCACCCATTGCAGGTTTATAAGTTGGTAATAATTCGTTGAATATGGTTCAATTTTATATATACTGCTGTAATAACAGTAGTAATATTAGTAATCTTAGTTGTAACCCAATTACATATATGGCAGATTAGTATAGAGTAGTAATTTTTTCTTATTTATAATCTTTATAGTAACTTTAATTTTTCAATTTTTACAATTATTTATATATGTAAAAAAATATTTTCAAACTGCCAAAGTGCCGGGGTAGGTCGTACGGGGACCTTCATCGCCCTGGACCATCTCATCGGGCAGGCTGTCGACATGCAAGCTGTTGATGTCTACAAGTGTCTCAAGATGCTGAGATCCTATCGAAACCACATGATTCAGGCTTTGGTGAGTCTTGCAAATGTCATTCTTTAATTAATTTTGTATGTTGGCTGATATGCGTATGTTGGTGTGATTGATTGATAGCTTTATGGCTATGGTGCCTGGCCCTTAGTTGAGGTTACCAGATTCGTAAGCAAGAAAAACTCTTATCTAAAGTGTATGTGACGTTTTACTTAATTTATGTGCCGATGTACAAAATGTTTGGTTGGAGAATTGATAACCAGAAAATTATTTTTAAGATGGAAACACCGAAAAAGATGAATTCTAAACTGAAATTTCATTAATTAAATTATTAGTGTAGAAAATTTAAAAAAAAATATTGAACCTTGACTTCAGAAACAGTATCAGTTTTGTTACGAGGCCCTTGCAGTTTACGTGAAGCTGAATGGAAGAACCTACTTCAGCCTTGACGAGAACGAATTCCTAAACATAAAAGATGACATCGAGGTACAAGCGTCACAATTTGAGGTGAGGAAATGAGATTTTTCAATTCGAAATTATTAATTTTGAAAATTAAATAATAAAATATTCATCTAAACGCTTGTACATATTTGAAAATTTTCAATTTAAATAAAAAAATGATTGATAGTATATCTCATATATCATAAACATTTCATTCAGATAATTAAAGAAAAATATTGCAACCCGAAACTCCATGGTTCGTTCACATATTCAACCACAGTGATATTTATTAAAAAAATTTATTTTCTTCTCTTACTTGAATTAATTTCCAAAGTTATCAACAACACACACACACTCACTCAAATTTGTATAAATGTTTTTGACGAAATAGTTAAAGAAGTCGTACGTAGAAACTTGAACCATGGATACATTGACATGTTTTCGCAAAGGGTTATTTATCCATACCACTTTATCATTTTCTTTTCAAATGAATCTGAAATTTTCAAATTAAATCAAAAAAGAACTCTATTTTTTATTTAAATTTTTAAACATTCAACATTTTTGTCGAACTGTTGTTAAAAATCATTCTTTACCAAATGAAAATGAGTCTAAGACGAAAATTAAGATGGTACACAAAGCTACGTTAAACAGTTTTATTTAGTTTGAGGTGTTTTTCAATCATTAGCAACTACCAGGTAGAAAACAGGAATGTTTTAATTATTATTTTACCTACATAGGAGTGTTTTTTTTTTAAAAAATCAATATTTCTATTATTTATAAACTTACAATTTGTTTATTAAACAAGGGTTTCTTAAAGAGTAATGCATACGTCGTTGCTAAACTACCTTACAACATGGGTGGTGATGACTTCTATAATGTTATCTTGGATGGGAACCCTGGCCTTGTTGTTATTGTCAGTGACGATATAGAGGTAAGAGAATGGACAACTCGTTTCGACATTTTCAAGAGTTTTAACATTTTCAAGTCTTTCAGTGGCTTTTAAATCGTATTTTTTCATTTATTTTGATAACTTATAGTTATTTTAATTAAAAATGTAAATAATTGATAATTTTTCTGTTTAATTTTTGGTAAATTATTGATTTTTAATTCAAATTCTATATAGTTTTTTGTTTTTTTTCTTCCTAGAAGTTTAATTTCATTCCAAATGGAGATCACCCGACGATAAACTATGGAAAGTTGTCGGTTCATCGAATATCGGGGAGTAAAAACGGAGAAATGATCAAACTGAAGTTGATCACATCGAAGGAATACATGAATAACAATGTCGAGAACAAAGGAATTTATGTAATCAACTAATTATTTCATTAATAAATAATTTCAATCTTTGTAAAAATTAAAATTAATTCTTTAAATTATCATTATGCTTGAAATTTTTTTGACAAAATTTTAGTTTTTAATAGAAATAATTTGGATAAATATTTATGTAAATTTTAAAAAATTGCTCAAAAATAAATTTCTCTTTCATACTCTGACAGGAAAACACATCCAACCAAAATGACATCTTGACTATTTACTCCATGCAAACCATGAGCCAGATAAATGAACTGTTCCAACTGACAAGAGATACCCTTCAAGATCTCGACGCTCCTACCATCACTATCTTATATAAGTGAGATTTTTACGTTGATAATTTTTTGCCAAATTCAAATTAAACAAAAGTTTTATATTAAAATTAATGAATTATCAAACATAAAACTATGCTATAGTGGAATTTCCATTTAAAAATAAATACATCTCACTCACCATCCACAGACATTCCAAACAGATGGATGTAGACGACATTTTGGCCATGCTAACTCTAAAGGAGATGATCAACCAACATAGGCAGATCGACATATTCCAAACGGTCTACCGGCAGAAACCTCGAACCAACAGCATCAGCAGCAACAACCCAAAGCAAAAAGATCAACCAATTTATATCAATAGCGTTAATAAAGATGACGAAGATGATGACAGTCCTGATCAGATGACTTTGAAGAAATATATCCGTCTTCATAACCTTGCTAGTGAACTTTTCCTAGGAGTAAAAAGAAGTAACCTTAAATATGGATCATATCTTGCTAGAAAAACCATGATGTGCGAAGGCGGCATGAAAAGCCAAAAACCTGACATGAAATTTGACCCAAATAACATTAACATCAATACAAATGGCAATAGAGACAGCAATAATGACATCAATAAGGCCAGAGACAATGTTGACGACCAAGCTTCAAACTGCAGAATTAGCTGCCAGGCTAATATCAGCTTTAACAACTGTGAAGTTTACGAATACGGTTACGACACCACCAAACAAACTGCTGACGGTAATAATGTTTATTATAACACCACCAACAATAACGTTAATCATGGCAATGACGTCATCAATAATAATGACGTCAATGACAACCGAGAGATTAATAATGAAGGTTTTGATGTCAGCGATTATTACAGTTCAGCTCTTAATGTTAAGGGTTCACGCGTTAGCTACGTATGAAAATTTCTGAGTTCTTTTGATAAATATGTAAATATATATATATATTAATAAATACATTATTAACTACGTTAGTTGCATTACAATAACTACTAAATAACATTAAATCAATGAAATATTTTGACAAGAATTTACTCGAATTTTTTGTTTAAATTTTGAAGAAATATATCCAGTGAACTTAGCATGTCAGAACCATTAAAAATACGTTTGCAATTAATTTCATATGTAGTATTTCATATTTTCTCATTAATATTGCCATACACAAACTTGCCTTTATAGCATGTTACTGATTATTATCAACTATAATATAGATTTTTAGTAGATTATTGAACTAATATATTAAAACTTATAGATTGTTCTCATATAACTTCGCAATAAATGTTTAATAACTAAATTTTTCTTCTTCAGATACTTGTATTGACACTGTTTTTTGTTTGGCGTGTACAACGTATTTTCAAATGTTTCATATTTGTTTTATTTATTATTTTTTGCACTGCTAAGAGTGCAAACACATATACACACACAAACAAACATACACAAACACACACACAAACAAACATACATAAACACATACACAAACAAACATACACAAACACATACACATACACACTAACATACACAAACGCACATCTATGAACATTGAAATTAAGACTCTTGAAATTAAAAAATTAACGTTTTATTAATTAAAGTCAAGAAAGTTTAATAAAAAAACGAAAAAATAGAAAAATTAACCATTAGTCGTTAATGACAGCAAAGATAATTGCAAAGAATAAACTTGGTTCTTATATGAAATTTATTAATATTAGAAAAATGGAAGAACGATTCTGAAACTTCAGCTTTTCAACAGTGTTAACATCAATCAATCAATCATACATTTTGTAGGTAGCCAGTGCAAGAGGACAAGGTATGGAGATATATGAGAAAAGAAACATGCTAGATACAGTATTGTGATTGATATTGATTGTAACTGATACAGACATAGACGGAAAATTCAAAAACATTCAAAAAAAATATACTAAAACAGAGCGACCAAAGATTATGAATTTATCAAAATTTCATAAAACCGAAACAAGAAATAAAGTCATTTTTTTTCTTATTTTCTACTCCCAACAATATTTCCAACGACTTCGTGAATGAGCCGGTATTGCTTCATAGTTACGAACACGTCGTCGTTGTTGTAGCTGTAAACGTCATCTGTGACGTCATCATCAGTGTTGATGTTGTAGTAGTTGATGTTTTTGTGGCTGCTGTGGTTGCTGTTTCTAAGTGGCTGTAGTTGACGGACCGCCTGGTAGACATCAACCTGCTCGTTGGAGTCCATCATCTCCAGCACTGACAACATCACTAGGACAGCATTCACGTCAGAGTCTTCAGAATTTCTGGACAATAATTTGTAAGATATACAACGTATTTTAACATTTATTGATTGAACTACTAAGTATATCTCAAAAAATTCAAATTCTGTACGTATGTATACATAGAGACACACTTGTATATCAGTGGGATAGCTGGTGATTTTGGATTTTTAATACTATCTTTCAACAGGTTGTACAAAGATTGGATTTGATTGATGGATTCCAGTGAATGTATCTTGATACTCCGGCCATGATTCGATAATTTGTTGTAAACATTATCATCTTCGTATATCTCATCCTCTTTTACTTTATCATCATTCATAGTTAGGGTTAGGGTTATGGTTGATGGGTTGTTGATACAGTTGGCTGTCTCGTAGATGCGGTTCGTTTCGTCATTGTTCTCAACGGTCATCTTATGAAATGTTAGTTTTCTTCCAGAATCAGGGATAAGTAGTTGTAATGCGCTCTGGAATGAAATTTATTATTTAATTAATTAATTTAATTATTATTTAATTTTATTTTATTTTTAACGAAACTACAAACTTGTTTGGTTGGCTTTGAATCAATAACAACAATTATGGAACCACCAGCTAACACGTCGTCATAGAGGACACTACCTTTTAGGTTTTTGCCTATTTCGCAAGTCAGAAATGCGTTCGATTTGTTGAAGCACTGTTAAGATTTTCATTTTGGGATTGAAATCTATTTTTCTACTCGTACTATTTTGATATCGTATTAGGTTTCGAGACTTGAGTGAAAATTTTCAAATAAAAAAATGTGAACAAATAATCTTTACCGGATAAAGAACAAATCCATTTGTATTTCTCAAGCTATCATCTGTAACACAAACAAAACTAACATTATAAATACAAATTTCTTCGTAAGAACTGATAATATTAATAACCTCTGTTTGAAATTCCACCAGTTGAGATGATCATCTGAAGATAATTTAAAATTTTGGCATTTTAATTTGAGCGAGGAACAGAAATTTAAATGAAAAATTGTGAAAAGTAGCCACCCTGAACTGTATTTCTAAACTTTTATTGAAAGTTTCGCTGCTTAGGAATTTAGTGAAGGAGTCTTCATTAATGGAGAAACATGTTGTATGGCCTAGGTTGTGGTAGGCTATCATGGATTTGTACAGAAAATCATATTCTTCCTGTGATGAATGTTTTGAAATTATTTCATTATTATTATTATTATCGGTACTATTGCTATTTATATTATTACAAAACTATTGTTAACTAAATAAAAAAATATTTTTATAAAAAAAATTTGAAGACTACCTGATTTGAAAATATTTCATTTTTATTATTATTACTATCGGTACTATTGCTATTTAAATTATTACAAAACTATTGTTAGCTAATTAAAAAAATATTTTTATAAAAAAAAAATTGTTTACGCTACCTCGGTTTGAATCATGTGGTTTCTATGAGATCTGAGATACCTCAAACATTGTAGCACATCAACCATGCTTTTATCTTCGCATTGTTCAATCAGGTAATTCAAACCTATGAAAATTCCCGAAGTACCGACCCCTGTCCTGTTAAAATGGATGGTCGTAGAATTATTTGAAGAAATTTTTAATTTTTTTTCAGTAGGAAATATTTATTAAAAGAAAAATTAATACACGTTTGACTAACTCGCATTGGACAACAATATTAGAATGATTTTTGTCGAAATTCTTCTTAGTTTCTAAGACAGATTTCATGCGGTGGTGGAAGTTTAGAAAACATCCAACGTTATTAGAAAGACCTCCATCGGGCCAGCCAGTGTAGCCCATGCAAGTTGGCATGAATTCTTGAGATTTCTGTAAAAAAAATGATAAAATCTTTTCTGAAGCTTATGCTATTTCTTATATTCATCCAACTTGGTTTAAACTGACATACTCCCAAACATTTTTGATATAAAAAGAATGAAAGATTTACCATTTTTATATAAAATTTTCTAATTTCATAAGTCGGCCATTTCTCCAAACTGACACATTTAACAGAGATATTATTTTTAAACTGTAGTTTTTCATCTAGATCAGGCAGGAAACTCTTCAAAATATCCTAATTTTAAAATAAATTTGTAAATTTATAAATTTTACACAATCGAGGTGGTTTATAATAATGTAATAATAATAATAATAATAATTATTATTATTATTATTGATTATAATAATATAACAACTTTGCTTTTTTGCCCTCTGAGGTTCAATATAATTATGATTTGAACATCTTTCTCGCAAATCATTCGCCAATAATCATTCATAGTTTCTCGATTAGGACCTTAATTGGATCAATTAAAATTTAATTTAAAACATTGAAGGTTAAGGTAAATTAGGTTAATTAAGTTAAAATATATTGTAAATGATCCAATTAAACTTACTTTCGGTAGCAATGAACGAATATTTTTTAGATCTGTAACTCTGAAAAAATAAAATTTGGTAAAAATTTCTATTGTTTTTCCACTGAAAATTATTTATATGTACTGGTACAATGGAAGCGTTGATGTAATCAGAAAACGGTTGGTCATCTAGTGTCTTCAATTTCACTCTATTCTCGTCAACTAACGATAAAAAGATATATAAATTAAAAATAAATTGTCATATAATCTAAAAATTTTAACGCCTACATGGTACTATTTCTTTGCTCTTATTCTTTTTATTAAGTTCGGGTTTTTCAGCGTAAGAGCTAGAATGGTTATTTCTGACAGGAACGCTCTGAAAATTGATTTGATAAAAGTTTGTCCGAAGTTTGTAAGAGTTTTTTAAAAACAATTTTTCTAAAAAAATTAGAAGTTAAATTACCCTAAATTGATCAAAAACGCCCTGAAGTGTCAGAGATTTGTAATAATTTTCTAATTTTCCAATTGGAACTTTGCTAGAGCTGCCATCAACATTTTTTTGAACTTTTTCCAAGGCGAGTTTAATGGTAGGTTTTCCTAGAAAATTTGACAAATTTAAGGTGATAATTAAATTTCAAATTAGTTTACTTGCTTTTGTAATTATTTGACTTTTAATTTGATGAAAATTAATTTTTTTAAAGACTGATTTACTTACTAACTTGAAATTATTTGACCAATATTCGAGTTTGATCTAGAAAAAATTTATATATAATATATAAATTTATGAAAATTACCATATTTCAAACAACTTCTAACGTTCGCTGTTGATTTTTCTTCCTTTTGCAGAAATAGGCGGCAACAAATATTCCTACAATGAGCAAAAGAGCTACTGACGCACCAACAACACCACCAATTATTGCTGATGTGTTCGACGACGAGTTGTTCAACATTCCTTCTTTTAATACTGCTTGATTTACTTTTAAGTTTAAAATTACTGAAAGTTAAGAAAAAAAGAAAGAAATTCTTGGTTCTCGCTTTACGACAGTTTGAAATGTTAGCAATGATGGTTGCGAAAAGAAAGAAATCGAACTAGACCCGAGATGGATGTCAAACGAAAAAATTATACAAAAAAAGCCAACTCAATCATTGATCAAAACCATAAAGTTGATAGGATATTGTAAAAATAATTATAGATGATACAGACTATCTCTTGTAAGGCAAATTAAATTTTTAATTTGTATATATAAATGATAAATGAGAAACCAGTGCAATTATTTTGGCCACTCCTCACATAGCCATCAGTACAGTTGCAAATGTAAGAGCCAGGGGTGTTCACACATGTTGAAATGTTGACAGGGCATAAGTTGGCATTCAATGAACACTTGTTGACCTCTTGAGTAATTATATAAAATAATAATCTAGCAACATTTAACTGAGTAAGATAAGGTTTACCTCTACAGTCATCGCTGTAGAAATTTTTGTAGTACCCAACATTGCAAACACATTCTGAAATACTGGACGGACCAATGAGGTTTGTCTTGCATGTATGAACTACACACATTCCGTTGTTAACTGAACAGTCTTCAGTGATTGAATTAAACAAAAAATACTTTAATAAATTTTTTTCATAACGAATCTATGAAAACAAGAAGAATGTTATGTCTCTAACCTCTGCTGTTACATCCAATTGAGTTTGAAGTTTTTGTACAACTTGAAACTGTCAGTACGAATTACAAAAAAATTAGTCGGTTGATGGGTGAGATATTTTCAAAATGTGAAACCTAAATTGATAAAAACTGGATCAAACTTACCGTTATAAACAGCGAAGTAACCAGTAGCTCCACACAGATGATCATCACTCGAACATGCAACTCCACAATGATCTGAAGATGCCAGGTCGCCTATTAATGTGTTACTGCAGTAACAATCTTTACCGTTCTGTGGTTTTATTTTATATTTTACAATTAGTATTTTAGTGATAAATAGACTTTTGAATGAATCAATTGATAATTTAACTAAAAATTTTAATAAAATAATATCATTGAAAACTAACCATGACTCCAGCATAGAGGTTACCACTGCATCTACCTAAACATTGGTAGAGTAAAATAACGCTTCCCTGATTACTCGTACTCAAAAATTTTTGAAAACAACCCATGTATCGATCGGAATAACTACCTGATTTAAAAATATTTATCGATTAAAGTTTGATAATAACTTTTATAATATGATAATGAAGTTTCATGTTACTCGTGTCATCTCCATATATTTGAAATTCAGCCACGTTGGCGATGTTATCTTTCGCATTAGAGAACAGCACAACGTATCTTGATTTTTGAAATGGTTGTGAACAGTTTAGTCGACAAACATCACCAAAATTACTGCAAGGTGAATATGCACCACAGCCATTATTGACAATTGGTGAGCTTCCAACTGCATAATCCAACAACAATCCCACTGAAAATTTGGTCATCCTAATAGCTAATATGAAATTTAAGTTAAATGAACGTTTTATAAATATTATTGAACAAATTTAAAATTATTAAATTATAAACATATTAAACGTTTTTTAACGATGACACTTT